TGTGTGTGTGTGTGTGTGTGTGTGTGTGTGTGTGTGTGTGTGTGTGTGTGTGTGTGTGTGTGTGTGTGTGTGTGTGTGTGTGTGTGTGTGTGTGTGTGTGTGTGTGTGTGTGTGTGTGTGTGTGTGTGTGTGTGTGTGTGTGTGTGTGTGTGTGTGTGTGTGTGTGTGTGTGTGTGTGTGTGTGTGTGTGTGTGTGTGTGTGTGTGTGTGTGTGTGTGTGTGTGTGTGTGTGTGTGTGTGTGTGTGTGTGTGTGTGTGTGTGTGTGTGTGTGTGTGTGTGTGTGTGTGTGTGTGTGTGTGTGTGTGTGTGTGTGTGTGTGTGTGTGTGTGTGTGTGTGTGTGTGTGTGTGTGTGTGTGTGTGTGTGTGTGTGTGTGTGTGTGTGTGTGTGTGTGTGTGTGTGTGTGTGTGTGTGTGTGTGTGTGTGTGTGTGTGTGTGTGTGTGTGTGTGTGTGTGTGTGTGTGTGTGTGTGTGTGTGTGTGTGTGTGTGTGTGTGTGTGTGTGTGTGTGTGTGTGTGTGTGTGTGTGTGTGTGTGTGTGTGTGTGTGTGTGTGTGTGTGTGTGTGTGTGTGTGTGTGTGTGTGTGTGTGTGTGTGTGTGTGTGTGTGTGTGTGTGTGTGTGTGTGTGTGTGTGTGTGTGTGTGTGTGTGTGTGTGTGTGTGTGTGTGTGTGTGTGTGTGTGTGTGTGTGTGTGTGTGTGTGTGTGTGTGTGTGTGTGTGTGTGTGTGTGTGTGTGTGTGTGTGTGTGTGTGTGTGTGTGTGTGTGTGTGTGTGTGTGTGTGTGTGTGTGTGTGTGTGTGTGTGTGTGTGTGTGTGTGTGTGTGTGTGTGTGTGTGTGTGTGTGTGTGTGTGTGTGTGTGTGTGTGTGTGTGTGTGTGTGTGTGTGTGTGTGTGTGTGTGTGTGTGTGTGTGTGTGTGTGTGTGTGTGTGTGTGTGTGTGTGTGTGTGTGTGTGTGTGTGTGTGTGTGTGTGTGTGTGTGTGTGTGTGTGTGTGTGTGTGTGTGTGTGTGTGTGTGTGTGTGTGTGTGTGTGTGTGTGTGTGTGTGTGTGTGTGTGTGTGTGTGTGTGTGTGTGTGTGTGTGTGTGTGTGTGTGTGTGTGTGTGTGTGTGTGTGTGTGTGTGTGTGTGTGTGTGTGTGTGTGTGTGTGTGTGTGTGTGTGTGTGTGTGTGTGTGTGTGTGTGTGTGTGTGTGTGTGTGTGTGTGTGTGTGTGTGTGTGTGTGTGTGTGTGTGTGTGTGTGTGTGTGTGTGTGTGTGTGTGTGTGTGTGTGTGTGTGTGTGTGTGTGTGTGTGTGTGTGTGTGTGTGTGTGTGTGTGTGTGTGTGTGTGTGTGTGTGTGTGTGTGTGTGTGTGTGTGTGTGTGTGTGTGTGTGTGTGTGTGTGTGTGTGTGTGTGTGTGTGTGTGTGTGTGTGTGTGTGTGTGTGTGTGTGTGTGTGTGTGTGTGTGTGTGTGTGTGTGTGTGTGTGTGTGTGTGTGTGTGTGTGTGTGTGTGTGTGTGTGTGTGTGTGTGTGTGTGTGTGTGTGTGTGTGTGTGTGTGTGTGTGTGTGTGTGTGTGTGTGTGTGTGTGTGTGTGTGTGTGTGTGTGTGTGTGTGTGTGTGTGTGTGTGTGTGTGTGTGTGTGTGTGTGTGTGTGTGTGTGTGTGTGTGTGTGTGTGTGTGTGTGTGTGTGTGTGTGTGTGTGTGTGTGTGTGTGTGTGTGTGTGTGTGTGTGTGTGTGTGTGTGTGTGTGTGTGTGTGTGTGTGTGTGTGTGTGTGTGTGTGTGTGTGTGTGTGTGTGTGTGTGTGTGTGTGTGTGTGTGTGTGTGTGTGTGTGTGTGTGTGTGTGTGTGTGTGTGTGTGTGTGTGTGTGTGTGTGTGTGTGTGTGTGTGTGTGTGTGTGTGTGTGTGTGTGTGTGTGTGTGTGTGTGTGTGTGTGTGTGTGTGTGTGTGTGTGTGTGTGTGTGTGTGTGTGTGTGTGTGTGTGTGTGTGTGTGTGTGTGTGTGTGTGTGTGTGTGTGTGTGTGTGTGTGTGTGTGTGTGTGTGTGTGTGTGTGTGTGTGTGTGTGTGTGTGTGTGTGTGTGTGTGTGTGTGTGTGTGTGTGTGTGTGTGTGTGTGTGTGTGTGTGTGTGTGTGTGTGTGTGTGTGTGTGTGTGTGTGTGTGTGTGTGTGTGTGTGTGTGTGTGTGTGTGTGTGTGTGTGTGTGTGTGTGTGTGTGTGTGTGTGTGTGTGTGTGTGTGTGTGTGTGTGTGTGTGTGTGTGTGTGTGTGTGTGTGTGTGTGTGTGTGTGTGTGTGTGTGTGTGTGTGTGTGTGTGTGTGTGTGTGTGTGTGTGTGTGTGTGTGTGTGTGTGTGTGTGTGTGTGTGTGTGTGTGTGTGTGTGTGTGTGTGTGTGTGTGTGTGTGTGTGTGTGTGTGTGTGTGTGTGTGTGTGTGTGTGTGTGTGTGTGTGTGTGTGTGTGTGTGTGTGTGTGTGTGTGTGTGTGTGTGTGTGTGTGTGTGTGTGTGTGTGTGTGTGTGTGTGTGTGTGTGTGTGTGTGTGTGTGTGTGTGTGTGTGTGTGTGTGTGTGTGTGTGTGTGTGTGTGTGTGTGTGTGTGTGTGTGTGTGTGTGTGTGTGTGTGTGTGTGTGTGTGTGTGTGTGTGTGTGTGTGTGTGTGTGTGTGTGTGTGTGTGTGTGTGTGTGTGTGTGTGTGTGTGTGTGTGTGTGTGTGTGTGTGTGTGTGTGTGTGTGTGTGTGTGTGTGTGTGTGTGTGTGTGTGTGTGTGTGTGTGTGTGTGTGTGTGTGTGTGTGTGTGTGTGTGTGTGTGTGTGTGTGTGTGTGTGTGTGTGTGTGTGTGTGTGTGTGTGTGTGTGTGTGTGTGTGTGTGTGTGTGTGTGTGTGTGTGTGTGTGTGTGTGTGTGTGTGTGTGTGTGTGTGTGTGTGTGTGTGTGTGTGTGTGTGTGTGTGTGTGTGTGTGTGTGTGTGTGTGTGTGTGTGTGTGTGTGTGTGTGTGTGTGTGTGTGTGTGTGTGTGTGTGTGTGTGTGTGTGTGTGTGTGTGTGTGTGTGTGTGTGTGTGTGTGTGTGTGTGTGTGTGTGTGTGTGTGTGTGTGTGTGTGTGTGTGTGTGTGTGTGTGTGTGTGTGTGTGTGTGTGTGTGTGTGTGTGTGTGTGTGTGTGTGTGTGTGTGTGTGTGTGTGTGTGTGTGTGTGTGTGTGTGTGTGTGTGTGTGTGTGTGTGTGTGTGTGTGTGTGTGTGTGTGTGTGTGTGTGTGTGTGTGTGTGTGTGTGTGTGTGTGTGTGTGTGTGTGTGTGTGTGTGTGTGTGTGTGTGTGTGTGTGTGTGTGTGTGTGTGTGTGTGTGTGTGTGTGTGTGTGTGTGTGTGTGTGTGTGTGTGTGTGTGTGTGTGTGTGTGTGTGTGTGTGTGTGTGTGTGTGTGTGTGTGTGTGTGTGTGTGTGTGTGTGTGTGTGTGTGTGTGTGTGTGTGTGTGTGTGTGTGTGTGTGTGTGTGTGTGTGTGTGTGTGTGTGTGTGTGTGTGTGTGTGTGTGTGTGTGTGTGTGTGTGTGTGTGTGTGTGTGTGTGTGTGTGTGTGTGTGTGTGTGTGTGTGTGTGTGTGTGTGTGTGTGTGTGTGTGTGTGTGTGTGTGTGTGTGTGTGTGTGTGTGTGTGTGTGTGTGTGTGTGTGTGTGTGTGTGTGTGTGTGTGTGTGTGTGTGTGTGTGTGTGTGTGTGTGTGTGTGTGTGTGTGTGTGTGTGTGTGTGTGTGTGTGTGTGTGTGTGTGTGTGTGTGTGTGTGTGTGTGTGTGTGTGTGTGTGTGTGTGTGTGTGTGTGTGTGTGTGTGTGTGTGTGTGTGTGTGTGTGTGTGTGTGTGTGTGTGTGTGTGTGTGTGTGTGTGTGTGTGTGTGTGTGTGTGTGTGTGTGTGTGTGTGTGTGTGTGTGTGTGTGTGTGTGTGTGTGTGTGTGTGTGTGTGTGTGTGTGTGTGTGTGTGTGTGTGTGTGTGTGTGTGTGTGTGTGTGTGTGTGTGTGTGTGTGTGTGTGTGTGTGTGTGTGTGTGTGTGTGTGTGTGTGTGTGTGTGTGTGTGTGTGTGTGTGTGTGTGTGTGTGTGTGTGTGTGTGTGTGTGTGTGTGTGTGTGTGTGTGTGTGTGTGTGTGTGTGTGTGTGTGTGTGTGTGTGTGTGTGTGTGTGTGTGTGTGTGTGTGTGTGTGTGTGTGTGTGTGTGTGTGTGTGTGTGTGTGTGTGTGTGTGTGTGTGTGTGTGTGTGTGTGTGTGTGTGTGTGTGTGTGTGTGTGTGTGTGTGTGTGTGTGTGTGTGTGTGTGTGTGTGTGTGTGTGTGTGTGTGTGTGTGTGTGTGTGTGTGTGTGTGTGTGTGTGTGTGTGTGTGTGTGTGTGTGTGTGTGTGTGTGTGTGTGTGTGTGTGTGTGTGTGTGTGTGTGTGTGTGTGTGTGTGTGTGTGTGTGTGTGTGTGTGTGTGTGTGTGTGTGTGTGTGTGTGTGTGTGTGTGTGTGTGTGTGTGTGTGTGTGTGTGTGTGTGTGTGTGTGTGTGTGTGTGTGTGTGTGTGTGTGTGTGTGTGTGTGTGTGTGTGTGTGTGTGTGTGTGTGTGTGTGTGTGTGTGTGTGTGTGTGTGTGTGTGTGTGTGTGTGTGTGTGTGTGTGTGTGTGTGTGTGTGTGTGTGTGTGTGTGTGTGTGTGTGTGTGTGTGTGTGTGTGTGTGTGTGTGTGTGTGTGTGTGTGTGTGTGTGTGTGTGTGTGTGTGTGTGTGTGTGTGTGTGTGTGTGTGTGTGTGTGTGTGTGTGTGTGTGTGTGTGTGTGTGTGTGTGTGTGTGTGTGTGTGTGTGTGTGTGTGTGTGTGTGTGTGTGTGTGTGTGTGTGTGTGTGTGTGTGTGTGTGTGTGTGTGTGTGTATAGGTGTGTGTGTGTGTGTGTGTGTGTGTATGTGTGGAAAAGAGAGAATATATTAAATCCTACTTTTTCACAGCACATTTAGTAATATGACTGCCTGAAATTTATTTTGTTCTTTCCTTGCATTTTTTTTGTTATATTAAACAAGTCAAATAGCAACTAGATATCAAAAAACTAATGGGAGAGATCAATATTTTCACTCGCTTAAAGTCAAAAATAAAAATATTTTTATTTTTATGACTAACTATATTTGACTGAGAAAATAAATTTTGTTTGTTCTTTTTTTTTCTCTTTATGTTATCTCAAGATATATATTATTAAATTTGGAAATTTTTATAAAATACACTTCACAAGTGTTAAATTATTGATATAAACAAGACTAAATAAACATTTGTAAACATTTTCTCTTCTCTCTTTTCAAAGCACAGACTGACATTGGTTAATTTACATCCAACATTAATTTACTTCAATGATCTAATTTGATTAAGATTAATAAGTTTTACAGAATCTGCGCGGATGACGGAACACGCTCGTGCCAACGAACGCAGACAGGAACAGGTATCAGGCTGTAATGGTTGCTCCAAGATCGCGAGTAACGCGTAGATCCACTGGCCTATTTTGTATTCGATTCTCCTTTCAGTTTCCACAAAGTGCACCAGATATTCAAGTACCTGCTCTACAGTTGATTGATTGAAGCAAAACAGAGTATTCAATGTGGGTTTAATTTTCTCTTTGCTACCTAAACAGAAGCTGATCCAAGTGTTTTGATCGTTTATGTCTGGCTGTAATATCAAAGAAAAAAAAAAATGATTAAACCAAAAAGTAATTCAAGATTTTTTTCAGATTTCAGGCAAGTTTATTATGTAATACTAAAAAAAAAAATTTAGATACCAAATTAATATCAGGTGCTCTCCATTTATGTTTACCCACTTGTATCTCGTCTTTCAATTGACTTACATACAGTCTTATATTTGAAAAGTCTGAGACTTGATACTGTTGCCACTCCAAGGTTGGGCTGAAACTCGGCGGTGCTTGGACACATCCTGCTAACTTTTATAGTCACATTAGTGTACAAAATTTATTAGATTTGTTGTCAATACGTAATATTACTGAAATCAACTCTTACAGTTTTAATAGATCCTCTTGAAAGTGTCATACATGATGGATCTATATCAGCTACCACTATGTCTGCACATTGTCGGGCTTCTATTCTACAAGATCAACAATTTTTTAATCATTGATTTGTTATACAGTTGATTGCAAGAGCTCCGTTCTTTATTAGTTATATTCTTGTAATGAAAGTAATTTATATATATTCGTGCTTTGGCAATAGAAATTTTTAATAAAATACATTTTTGAAAGGAACAGAGCTACAATACAATTAGATGATCCTTTTTAGTTGAACTTTCCTATACACTTCTTTGTAATAAAATAAAATAAAAATATGCATATAATTAAAACTTTAGAAAAATATGTAAAAAGTGTAAGTGAAAAAATCTTATCGTAAATTACACCACTCGTTTGATGTATTCCTCTCCGGAAATAGGTGGCAATGAAAAATTAATATCTTCGTTGATATTTCCTACTTCGAACACCGGCTGTTTCAGATAATCCATCATAATGATTTAAAATTTCACTTTTTCATGAAGAGTTCTGACATTTTGTCGAGCCATCAAGAATTTGAGTTTAAGGTTAGCTTCGCGTTGCTTTCAAGATGCTCATTACGGTTGACAACTACAACTGGCGACCAGCTGGATAAAACAACCTATAAAGCTTGGTCCATTTGAGAGAGTAATTCTGAAAATATCTCTCTTTGTACATAGTACTCTCCATAATATCTATATTTGTGATTTTTATTTGTCAAAATCGGTATCGATAATATATTTCTTTTAAATCGGTACTATAGCGACAAGTAAACTTGTTTATAGCATAATAAATAGTGTATACATATGCATTGCACAAAGTTAAATTTACATAATTAAAAAAATGCTGACATTATTAAAAATATATGCTTTAACTATCAATTTTTGTAGAAAAATACAAGAATATTCCGGTGTCATCTAATTTTTATTCCAATAGATGTAATTACGAGAAGAATTCTCAATCTTAGAGTGCACAATTATAATTTTATTTTCAAAGATATTTTTTATTACATATATTTTGTAAAAGTGCAAAAAAAAGTTTTGTTTCCTTTCGCAATTTAATTTTGTATATTTTTGTAATAAATATTGTAAAAAAAAAGAGTGAATAAAAACTAATCTGACATGTGTTATTGTTTTTTTTTCAGATACAAAATATGTCACGAGACGCGCAATCAAAAGCTTTCTTTTCGCAAAGTCGATTACTCTGATTGGCTGTGTCCCATCTGATAAAGGTATCTCTTTTTCGCCTGTGAACCCGCCAGATCGATAAAGGTAGTTAGAAGAGGAAAATTGCTGAAATTCGAAGATGAGATAACCAATTAAGAATGAAAACAAAATGTATAAAAATTGATAATATATTCACAAAAATTACAACGAAGGAATGGATAAAATAGGCGTAAAGGCACAAAGAAAAACATCCGAGAATCGAATACAAAATAACGTGCAGTGTCATTGTTATATGTATAGTTCTGCTGCGCCATTCTGCGGTTTCACCACGATTTAATGATTTAAACCTTTCACGCAGAGCGGAGATTTCGCTATTTAAAGTTAACCTCCATCACTTGTGCTCTAATTGTGGAAACTACATCTGGATTTCTAGGTGAAAGACAGAAGAAAATAATCATCATAATGAGCGAGGACGCCGATCGACTGAGTAAATATCTAAAGCATTCGCTGAAAACGGCGCCGAAATCGAATGTAAGAGATATTTATATATTTTGGAATAATATATCAATATATTACATTAAATTAGTTAGGAAATTTAATAGATGCATTAGATATATTAACGCCAATAGCACATAAAGTAAAATATTTAATTTGATAAGACTTGCCAAATTAAATATTTAGTTGTCAAACTAGATATTAAATGTTTTCTTATTTTTCGCTCGTAAGATATATCCGAATGCTTATAGGTTTTGGAATGTCGTGTCTGCGAAGAGGTTTTTACTGTGGATGGTGTAAAGGTACCACGTTTGTTGCACTGTGGACACACAGTGTGCCACGCGTGTCTGTTGCGATTGAGAACTTGCATGCAGGATCAGCAGTTTCTGCTGTGTCCCTTCGACCGGCAACCCACCGCCGTGTACGAAAATAGCGTCTACAGTCTGAAGAAGAATTTTGCACTCATCGAGCTGCTCGAACGGCTGGAGCAATCCAATAGCGAGAAGACAGTGGTGTTGGAACGCGAGAGGCATCAGTCAAATCAGTCGTGCGACGAAGACGAGGCTCACACTGCTGTTCTCTATTGCACGGTTTGCGCCACGCATCTGTGCGAGACATGCGACACCGCCACACATTCATCTAAAACATTAGGCAAGCATAGACGAGTGCCACTGTCAGAGAAGCCACGTGAAAAGCCTCGCTGTCCAATACATATGGAGCACGTGGCCGAATTCACATGCACCCAAGAAGGCTGTCACAATTCCTTGATGTGTTATCTGTGTAAAGAGTATGGCAAACACAGCATACACAAGGTAATTTTATTTATAGCTCACTTCTCAGTTTATATACATTGATACAATTTTACCTATTCTTTAAATGATAGCCGGCATTGGTGGAGGAAGAGGCCGAGAATATCAGAAAATCCATTATTGCCGCATTACAAAAGATGACACAGTTTATGGAAAGCATGAGAGACACTGCACACAAGATAGGTATTTTTTTGCTAATTTTTCTTACATATAAATAAAAAAAACGAGCCTAAATTTGGGAAAGAGAATATAAACCTTTACCTTAGTATGTATTTAAATCTAAATCTTTATATGTATTTATTTTATATATCTTATATATCTTCTATCAATCTATATTTCATATTTTTAGAAATAGTAATTGAAGAATTAGAGGGCTGGGCGGTCGAAGATGCGAGAAGAAGAGTGCGATATCATTTTGAGGAACTACGCGCTGTTCTGGCCGAACAAGAGAAAACGGCGATGGCATATATCGAGACGGAGACTCGCGGTAGATTGTGTGCGTTGAGACAGCAACAAAAAGATCTCACGACCACGAGATCACAAGTGGCCGGTGTGTGTATCCAATGCGAGAGCATACTCGATTCCGAAGACTGGAAATTATTGAGTAGCTCAGAAAAAGTCAAGGAGGTTCTAGCGACGTTGGAACAACAGCAACAACATTATGCACAATTGGGACCAGATTTTCTCAGTCCCGAATCCTCTATACCAATCATATTCAGCAGGGTATGTTAAAATTTTTCATGATAGATTATTTTGGTGAATTATAATATATAAGGTGTCCTAATTGTTCCAATTGTTTCTGGAATATTAGGATATAAATTCTTTGATTTTGAATAATTTGACTCATAGTGACTTATACAACAATTATAGTAAAGTTTTATTTTATATATATTGATCTCTTTTTTTCTTAAACTATTTCAAGTCAATCACTTTCAGATTTTAAGTAGAAATAATGCAATGATCAAATTATATAATTTGCCTTATCTATTATCTTTTTTTTTAATATATTTTTTTGAACGCATTTTTTTTTTTTTTTTTTTTTTTTGGATACTTAATAATGTATCGGTCGAATTCTATCAAGGAACAAAGATCGATATGCGCGTAGTGATCTTGGGACTGGACGGGGCGGGAAAAACAAGTATTCTATCCGCCATGCGTGGTGTCACGTTGTCGAACCCACCGATTCCCACTATCGGCTTCAATGTCGAGAGCTTAGAGTATATGAATCTCGTGTTTACTCTCTGGGACGTCAGCGGCCATCAGAAATTTAGGCCACTGTGGAAGCATTATTACCATAACACGCAAGCTGTCATTTTTGTAGTCGATGCCAGTGATAGGTCTCGTTTTGAAGAAGCGCAGAATGAATTATCAAAGATACTTTATGAACGAGAACTGAAAGATGCTCTACTTTTAATCTATGCTAATAAACAGGTTAATATAACATTCACTCGTTTGTATTGTAGATGTATATTTAATTTTGAGATAAAATGTTTTTTTATATTGATATTTGCGATGTTGATATTTGGATTATATTAAGTTTGTAATTTGTAAACTCGATTTTAAATACGATTTTGTAATTAATTTAGTTTTTAATCTAAGTGAATATATATTTTTACAGGATATTGCAGGTTGTGCGAGCCTTGAGGAGCTGGTCGATATATTTGGTTTGCATAAACTTTGTTGCGCAAGAGTATGGCATATTCAGGGCTCATCTTTAGTTACTAATACCAACGGTACCCTACAGGGTCTTGATTGGCTCTTGACACAATGCGTATAGAGTGTTCTTTCCTTTTTGTATAGAGCTAGTTATGTGGATAAAAAGTCGAGGAGACACGTTTCGCATTTACTAATGTGGCTTTCACATAAGGACAAGTCGAAGCGGATTGACATTAGGTAAATAGAAATCGTGCAAGAAAGATATTCGCGTAGTCGATGTAAAAAATGATTTATTTTCTAGGAACTATTTCTTCACAAAATAGATTCTATTGGATATTGCTATCTAGAGAATTATTATAAAGAAAAGTGTTTCTCAATCATTTTTTTATATCGACGCTCTCGATTGTACTTTCATATGCGTTAATTTTTTCTGTTTAATTTATTATTAATTAATATTCATATAAAAATTAATTTTTTTATACGCTCTGTGAGCGTGGATGACCAATATAAGTTTAACATATCTAATATATTGCTGTAGATCTCTCTATATTAGCTCGTCAATGCACGAGGCAAGTCTGCTCTATCAAATTTATCTGCGTTATACCAAAAAGAAATAATGCTCAAATTAATTTCAAACACAAATAATATCAGTTTATTTCCCAACACAAAAATTGAGCTAAAAGATTTAATCGTATTTAAATATATCATAAAATAGCTTGTATATGCATGTATATATATATATATAAAATGAAAATTAAAAGCAATTTGTACAGTCAGTTCGTACACATTACTATAAATAATGAAGATGGATTAGTAGCAGGATTAGGATAGGTTGTTTGATCGAGATGAGCGTTTAAAGCCCATGAAAATAAATTCTGAGCACATCTAGAAAAGTCATTTATTTTATTACATGTGGGTTATTGTGTTGTTGCTTTTTTTTTGATATATCATACCAATTATCATTCAGTCATAATTGCACACATTCATCCTTACGTTTTTCTTTCTTATAACTGGAGTTCTTTTTTTAATTATGCATACATTATACGAAGAAAATGAAATAATATATATTATACTATAGCATAGTATTATTTAAATTACATCTGAATTATCTTTAATGTATATAAAACACTTGACAAACAAAAACGGAACAACTTAGAGTCTTTTACGGAGCTGCGCCGATGATGGACACGGGCTGGATGACTCTTTTTATTTCTCTTTCACTAATTTTTAATATCTTTTTTTCCTTTGTATTCCATACACTCCTGATGTATCTCGTGGAAATATCAATCACTTGATTTACGCTTGCATGATCCATGCTTACAAGTTAATATTTCAGGATAATTTGCACTCGAGTAGTAAGTTATACCTGGTGACTAAAAATGTTTAGGCGCTGTGATACCAAGGCCAAAATAATTATTCAAACGTTGGAAAAATTGGGCGAGACTTTATTTTGATATCTGAAAACGAACTCAACATGACGTCCTCGTAGAAAATATGGTGGACGACATAATCGATGAGGCTATTATCCTGTTCTCATGCTATTTTTTCGCATGTCTTTAGATTACAATTTTGTGCCTGTGGGAGGATTAATACGTGTCGCAGCCACGTAGCTCCTGGAATACAGTCTGTGTGTGTTTATGTCCACGCGCGACACTTTTATTTATATTTACAATTCGTCATGCTCCTATAAAGAAAGAAAGAAAAAGCCGTTAATATAATTGATAGTATTATAATCAATACATTAATTAGAATCGACACATTCAGAAACGAGGAATTCCAATTTTTATCGTCAGCAGACATCAGAAAAAAATCAAACATCATGTGCATACAACTTTTATAAATCTTATTAAAATAAGATATAAGACTTAACATATGTAGACACTTACCTCAGCATCTGGTATATTGTTATCTTCCTCTTCAGCATTTGGTATATTGTTATCTTCATCATCAGCATCTGGTATATTATTATCTTCATCTTCATCATCTTCATCATCCTTGCTGCTTACGCTTTCTTTTACCTCTTTGTCTCTCTGTTTTCTTTCCTCCTCATCTTGCGCTTCTTTCATTTTCTTCTCACCTTCCTATAATTTTCAGAATAAACAGAATATTTTCCAATTATTTATTTCACTCATAAAAATTAAATATTAGTACGCAATGAATCAATCACATCAGTTACATAATAGGACAGATAAAGAAAAATGTTTTAATAATAAGGATCGAGTGCTTACGAAAGTAGGTTTCCAGACTTCTTCTCCGAATTTGCGCGCGACTTCCGGATCATCGGTGATTAGAACATTATCGAAAATGGTACCAGATTTAACCTGCCAGAGATCAAAGCCGACAGAGCAAATTTCATCACGCTTATATAACTCGGGATCAGCCGTGTATTCGGGGTTATCGATCTCAGGATGTACCCATGGTCCTTTATAATTAGGATTGTCGATTTGTTTCGGTTTCCATTCGCCCTGAAAGAATTACATAATTTTAGAAACAATGACAAAGTATAAAATTTTGAATATACATCAATTTCAATATACGAACCTTGTATTCGGGATTATCGATCATGGCTGCTTCCCATTCGCCGTCCATTTCATCATCCCAGTCCTCGGGTTTAGTAGCTTCGGGATCAGGAATGTGCTGCGGTTTATCCCAGTCCTCGGGCTTCTTATCCTCAGGGTCGTCGATGCTGATCTTATCATCCCAATCTGCAGGCTTGGTTTGAGATGGATCCTTAATCTTCTTTGGAGGCAGGAAGCCCCAATCTGCTTCCAACTCACCAGACTCTACTTCCTCATTATCGATGAGTACCTGAAGAATTATTTCATTGAGGAATCATCGAACCAAACAAATTTTCTGGCAATAGTTTTTAAGCAAATAGCGATAATATTGACATGTTGATCTTTGCCGTACGTGCACAATGAGTCATATCGCTCCTGTACAATAAACAAACAAGATAATCTTTGCTTTACGAGATCCTCTAGCACTTGTCCTCCATGGCAATTAGTGAAGACATGAGACTCTAGGCTCGATATGATAATTCATGAGCTCACATTATAATGTTATATAAATCTTTTATAGTATTGAATATTTACCTTATATGTATTATCGGGTTTAACAATCAGTGTGTATAAATGTGTGTAGATATCATCCTTGCAGCGAATATCCTTATTAATCAAAAGGTTCTTGCCTTTATAGCTAAAGATGACATGCACTTTTTTAATTCCTGGTCCACAAATGTCAGGCCCTGTATAGAAAGAGATATTGCATGTGGTCAAAATTGATATTCTTAATATATTAAAATGTATATATATATGCATAAATAACTAATATATCAGTTCATTATAATAATTTGAACTTTATTTAAGCTAATTAACTGCTATAATAAATGTATCTTCTTTGGTGCCTGCAATATGCATAATCGCTATACACAGGGCATATGAAAGAATATTGTTCTCCGAGTTCCTGTAGCACTTGCCATACACTGGTATGACCAGTGACTCTTAGGCTCGGGATCGTTATCGGTAACTATGAATTATCGATAAGGCAATCTTGATGAGAAGACTTACCAAACATTATTTCATATGGAGTTTCTCCATGCATATCTTTCTGGTCAAGTGAGCAATCAAACACTTTGACGTATCCACCACCACAGTCGATGTTTTGTTCATGCTTGACGGTGAATTGGATGACAAGGGTCTTGTCCTTATTGCTAAATGGAGTAAATTTCTTACTGATAGCGTAAAACCTTGCATCTTGTGATGTTTGAATGCCTGAGGAAAATTTGGAAAAGAAGAGAGAATACTCGTTATGTAAATGAACAAAATTTTGTATTTCATAAACTGTCCATGTATTCTTTCAAGTACCTTTATCATTTTCTACATCATTCCAGAACTTCCCGTGACTTAAAACAAATTTTCCGAATTCTTTATCTGGATGCTCAGAGTAGACCCAGTTTTGTTCCCATGAATCTGAAATGTCAATAGTTTCTTTGTGAAATGATGTACATTGTACATATAAAAAAAGAAACATTATAAAGTATACATACACGAACTACTTCAATTTAAATATATTTTATTAACACATATGTATATATGTATGCCTGTGTGTCTGTGTATAAGTATGAGACATTTATATAATGTTACACATTATTCATTAATAATGTTAATCTATGAAATCTTAATAAAAAAATGATTTTTATTAATTTATCAATTATCAACGAACAAAGCAAAAATTTATTAGAAAAATTTTATTTTGTTAATATATTTAATATTTGTGTGCAATTATGTTATATTTACACATGGTGTAATATATATTCTTTCAATTTCAAGATGATAAAAATTAATATTTAAATATTAAATGATTATATACGATTTCTGGTTACTAAATATAAATCGACAATATTTGCATGAAATTCTTATTGCAAGTCCCCGAGCAAGAGAGATAAACGAGAGGGGATAAGAACCGGTTAAATATGAAAAAGACGACGATATATAACTGTACTAACTGTCGAGAGACGAAGGGAGATAGTACTATCTCTCGTCGGCAATTTCGGCAAATTTAATTTCTATGCAAAAGATATGGAAAAATAAAGCCATAACCGTCGCGTTCCATTGTCATCAAATAAACATAAGAAGTTTGTTGTTTTCACAATTCTTTTCTTGCCTCATTCTCTATTCAGTTCTTACTCCGTTTTATATAAGCGAAAAGCGTGGAAAAAAAAAGTAGCTAAAAAGAGAAGCAAAGTCTGTCGCGTATACTTTTTACGCTTTATGCATTTAAGGTGAAACAAATATATACAGTTGAAAGAAGAATGAATAAATCCTGTAGAGATAATTCTCGTCTGCATCTGAAATCTGAATTTAACGGGATAACATCCACGTCAGTAGGAAAATTTTTTTATACTTGACGTACCTATAAGAGGATAGCCTTACGTATGGGGTGATTGGGGTTTCGGAGCGAGGGAAGGAAGAACAGGATGACAGCGCAGAATTGAACGCAAATGGACGGAGAGACCTGTAGAGAAGTCATTTTCGCCCGGCATCGAAATCTTATCTCAACGAGAGATCAAATCGGCTTGGCAATCGTCGCCCCTTGTCACGTCGTTCGCCGCTAACCGTAGAATCGAGCATGCAGATTGATCGATCTGGCGGCGTCATGTCGACGGTGGTGTGACGATGGACGAGATGCCGCGTTAGCACGACGATTGCCACGAGATACTAGACTAGACTTCCGACTGCGTGTCGGTCTCTCGATGCTTCTCATTCTCTATCTCTCTCTCTCTCCCTCTCTCTCTCTCCTACCATTGGCGCGTCGTGGCGCATATGGCCGATACCGCTTCGAAAAGTTATGAATACGACACATGTATATTGTGATGTATGTACGTGGTGAATGATTTTCTCCAGTCGCGTATGGTCAAAAACGATTTTGTACTGTATGAAATAGTAGATGTAGGCAGACGAGACGGATCGACGTCGGCCGACAGGACGACACGGAGCCACGGAAGCGCGACAGGGCGTGCGGTTACCAAGGAGAGGCCGCGTCCTCGTCCCTCCTGCGATACACGATTTCAATTCCACGCGCGTTGTCTTCTTAATTGGAAAGGACGCGGAAGATACGCAGAATGAATAAACGAGGGTGTGGTTCATCCGCGAGAAGATATCGCGGCACTCCGATCCGCCACGGTCTTCGTGGCAAAGAAAGAAGCAGCCGCCGCCGCCGCCGCCGCCGCCGCCGCCGCGAGTCTTGGCGGCCGGGTCGGCGTTTTCGCGATCGAAAGAATGATTATTACTCACCATCGGTGAATTTCTCGTCCAAGTAGATCTCCGCCGAGACAATGGCAAGCCCTAGGAATAGGACGAGTGCGATAGGAGACCGCATTTTCGGACGCGCCGATAGAACGACGTGATTCCGAAGAGACGACGACGAAGGAGGCACTTGCCACCACGACGAACTGGCCGACAATGTTCGCTCGGCGGACGTGGTTGGTGAGTTTAGCGGCCATCGGAGTAGACAGATGGAACGCGCCGATTGGCGGACGCGCGCCGACCAATCACCGCTGACCACGCTCAACTGACGTTGCGCCACACCGTGGTGGCAGTTGGCCATGCCGCGTCGCACATAACCTCGCGTTATCGCAGCCGCTTATCTGTCGTCGATACGGTAGCGTTCGGGGAAACGGAGCCGACAACAGCCGGATTTGCACGAGAGCGTTCGATGAGATGGAAGCCGTTGATTGGCTGCTACGTTGCTGTCAGGGTACGCGTCATTTTCAAACTAGTTTCAGTTTCTTCTTTAAAAAATCGCGTTTTTCTATTTCTCAATTTCTGACATTGCGTTAGAGATACTTTGGTATTTGTTATCGTTGTTATAAATTGAAATATTTTTATCTGAGAGAGGAGACAACAGATAGTTTCGAGTATTCTATTAACTCTTATCAAATACTTTACATGAAAATTTAATTAACGACGATTTTGTTATCGAGATATTATTTAGCAGTCATGTTAAAGGCATGTTAATAATATTATAATTTATTAAATACAGTATTGTTTCAAAATTGTAATTATAATCTAAATAATAGCCAATGATAATAAGCACTTATAACATGATATGTATTGTATGTGTGTACAGGCTGTTTCCTTGGCAACGAAATAGTAAACTCATGGTGAAAACGAGCAAAACAATCTATCGTGACTCACTTCAAAACAATTTAATTCGTGGATAATTTAAATTTACAAGTGATACAAAAGTCGAACGAAGATTTTGTTAGCTAAATTTAGCGACTGAACACTTGAAGCTAAAAAAAGGATAGAAAAATGCTCTCTTCGAAAGCGAACGCGGCACTGGCGCGTTTGAAAGAAATCGAGGAGAAATACAAAATAAAACGTGAGGAGCAGAAATGGAACCATAAAGAAGTGAGTATTTCTTAAAAATAAGAAAAAATAAGAGAATTAAAAAAAGTCCTGAAAAGGGAATATGTGAAACAAAAATTTCGTCAAGTTTTAAACTTTGCACAAAATATATGATGAAATATTTTATGATATATATTTTACATTTTCGTTTATTTTTACATATATTTTACATATATTTCGTATATAAAGTAGAAATAATAAATACATATACAAATATTTAATTATATTTTTTGTAGAGAGATTTTTAGAATTAAATTGTAGGTTATAGCTATAAACTAGGTTATAGTTATAAAATCATTTTTCTCTATAAATCTAATAATGAAAATTTTTACAAAATAGCGATATTGTATGATTCTAAAAAATGTAAAACACATTGCATTCCTTGTTTAGGACGCGGATAGCTCGATTAGCAGCGTTTCGATAATTCCTTCGGAAAATCCCTGGGCGGAATTAAAGAAATCATTGAAGAACGTCTCGAAGCTCAAGCTTGACATTAAGATACCAGATATGCGATTTGAAGGACGTGCGGAAGAAACAAAACTTTCATCGGAGAGTAAGAAATCAACGCCGGACAAAATGAGTCCGGAATCTTTCGAAGATGTCGAAGAAGCCGACCTTGATGTCACGATGCCGCCGAAAGATAAATCGCCGCGTTACACAGGAAAGCAAGAAAGTCTCATCTCGGACGTAACGAGTATTCAAGAGGATAGTTCGATCGAAAGCGTGCTCGATGACTCGATGATTTCGTCGAAATCACTCTCGCGCTCGAAAACGTTACGAGGAAACTTTTCCACGGCTAGTAATAAATCTTCCAAACGCGAAGAAAGGACAAAAGCGCCTGCAAAGTACAAGAAAGAGAGAGAATCCGATAAATCGTTAGATATTTCCAAGAGAAAAGCATCATCTGCTAATTCGTCGATCACAAAGCAATCGAGATCGTTCGAAAAATCGAATGAGAAGACTGTCAAAGTGCGTTCTAATCTGAAATCGAGAGAGCGTTCGATTCAAGAAAAGGTAATCATTAAAATACCGTATGTGGCTAGTTCGGATCGCTCAAGGTCTTTGCGCGATGATAGCGTTATCGAGGAATCGATCGGCACAGTGGACGACGGCAGTGAAATTATTTCGGAACTTTCTCACGCCAAGACAAGTATTACCGCTAAAACCGACGATTCTATTAAAAGTTCCAAATATTTGGCAGCTGAAAACGCTTTTGTGATGGATCCGAGCAGTTCCAGACAGCTGGCAACTGAAAGTGGATACGCGAACGACACCTTTGAAGACATTTCGAGTTCGACTATGCGGTCACAATCGCAGCCCGAAAAAATAATCGATGAGAAGCAAAAAATAGATTCATTACTCGAGGAATATAAACATCATCAAAATAATAAGAGCAACAGGTAACTTTATATGTTTAATTAATAGATACAATAGAGATATTATTTTTATATTTTTATATTTAATTTTAATATTATTTGACAATATATTTCATAATAAAACATATATTTCATAATAAAATACACATTTTTCCATAAATATATTTTTATCTTAAATAGAAAATTAATATTTTAAATAATAACTTTGCATGAAATCTATTATGTCAATAATAATAGTAATATTAATAATATAACATAAAA